GTACTTTAGACAGGAGGATCTCTTATCTAAACTATTAGGGTTAGTATTCCAGTTGGAAAGGCAGATAATGATGTATAGAAAAAAAAATTGCTCTTTTTATTTCATATAATAGATGTGGAAGTGACTATAGATGACATGTATTACTCTCATCCAATCTTAGTAAAAGGTTGGCAAACAATGTAATGTAAGTACCAACACAGACCATCATTCCTGAAAGCATTCTTGAGTGTTTTACTTTTTAGAAGAGAGAGATCAAAAGCTTGTGTAGTAAAAGCTGTAAACCTTACAGCAATTTTGGTATCTCTGGAGATCGCAATTTGCTCTGAGCATACAATTGAAATACAAATAGTCATTCAAAACGTTAGTGGTAGAAATACTTTATTAGTCTTTTGTAACAATACTATCACATTTAGGAGTTCGTACAAAAATAAATGTAGAGTTAGGTCAAGCCTTAGCAGAAATTAGCACATGCTTGCTTGTTACATTAAATATCTTTATGTGTGTATGTAATTGTTTAAAAAAAAAAAAAGGTGCTGACTTCTGGTCCTAATTGTAAGATACCAGCTTCTTTGAAGATCAGCAAGTTCATCCTTTCTAAAACCTTTTTAAAAAATGCCTTTTTGAAACTTTTTAAAAATTGCCTATATGGTAGAGACAGTGGGTGTTCTTTTCACTTTCTGAAAAGGTCACTGGTAAGAGAAGATTCAAGGTTACAATTTTGTGTCGTTTCTCCCTTGTGAAAAGTTGTTAACTTTTTCAGTGAAAGGAGCGTAGCTCTTTCACGTTTACCCCAGAGTCAGGGCAAATCCATAGGGATTACCGTGGAACAACTAATGTGCTGTTGGACCACAGCCCTGCTGATCCCTCTGGTGTCTTGCTTGTCTGTCCATATGCATTGCCACATTGCTATAGGGCTCCATGATGTCTTTGCCTGTGAGAAGTAAACTGCTAAATAAGTATACACTTAACATGTTCAAGCATATGCCATGCCATTATTCCTTGTGGCCATTCTTTTCTTGGGCTGCCAGGTAGTATTATCATCATGGAGATAGCTGTAGTGGCATCTTTCAGTAACATAGACCATTCATTGCAGTTGGGTTTGAGAGCTTCTACAGTGTCCCTGGAAGACAGATTTGCAGAACTGATGCCTTTCAGATGCATTGCTGCTGATATGGGTGTCTTGCCTTTACATTGTCCTGAACAGTAGCTAGTAGAATTGCATACCCCAGTTATCCTAATACCTCCAATATGCTATTTATGAATTACAGAGATCTTTATAGTCTGTGTATGCATATTTAATGTTACCTGAGTGTTGGAAAATGTTGATTCTGCTTGAGGGTGGGTTAAGTCTTCACTTGCTGAGTGCCTGGGCAGAACTTAATTGTGTCTGTTGTGTGGTTGGTGCTTTTGGCCCTAAAGAAGGTTTAAAATTTCCAAAAATTTGGAAGGTGTGCATAGCACATCTGATGACAGGAAGACTCAAATTCTTCACTGTTAGAACTGAGGACTGAGAAATCCGTGAGGAGGGGAAGAGTTTTGGATCTGACAAACTCTTAAAGCTGGGTTTGAAAGTCTCTATGAATTTCCACGTCCCAGTCTCTCTTGTGCATGGAGTCTTTGTCTATAAGGTAGCTTTAGGGTGAGGTTCTCGGAGAACTGTGGGATTCCTTGGAGAGGAACTTTGGGGCCAGGAGGTAGATACTATGCACCCACTTCTTTTCAGTCTACCTGAAATTGCACTATGTGTGTCTTGAGATTTTTTTTTTTTTTTTGGGTACATAAATTCTCCATTTGCCTTGCTTTGATTTCTGTGAAGGGTGATTTCCATGTAATCAGCAAATACTTGGTAAGTTCCAAGGAAGCAGAAAGATGATAGGGCAAGTGCCTGAGCCCAGAGCGTCCTGTTGAATTTTGCTGTGAGATTATTGACTGCTTGTTTAAAGGCAAATCAAAGTATCCAGATTGACTTGAATATGTTCTATCACTGAAAGTCAATTTCTGTTCTTCATCAATACTTCCCTTCCCCAAACTGGGTGCTGTAGTTGCTTTGGGAAAACATGGAACGAACCCAAATAATGGCAAGTGTGTGTCTGAGACATTTTATTTCAGTTCATTCCACAGTTATTAAGTAGCAGAATAAGAAATCTAATTGACTGAAGGTTTCAGGTACACTTCAGCTTTGTTATGTTACAGGAATTATGTGTGTTTGCTTCTTTTTAAAATCAGGTAACTTGCTCATTAGACTGCTGTTAACTGCAGTGCTAAGGGAAACTCTGATAATGTTACTTTTAAAAGCGGTGACTGCTTTAAAAACATGATGCTTTATATTTGTGTGAAAGCAAATTATCATGTTTATACCCATGAAAGCACCGTATGATGCCATCTCCTTGATTAGTGTTTTTATAAGATCCTTTTCTAATGGGGCAGTGTTCTGGAGAGTGCTGTAATAATTTCAAATTGGTGTAAATCTGTAAACTTAGTATCTATTAATAACTCTTTTAACTTGCCAAGTTAAATTGATGCAACCCAAATACACTTTTATATTGATGTATACAGAAAGCCAAATAACTGTTTATAGTCTCATTTTTTTCTGCTTGTTATTTGTGATCAACTGAGGTAACTTTTTGTAAAGTTAATATATGGTCTTTTTTACATATATAGTGTAATATTGGTGGGTTTTTTGGTGGGATGTGTGCAATGTGATTAGTTTTAATTGTAAACACTTTGAATTGGGATTCTAAATAGAAACCAAAGCATAATGCAGGTAATTATAAAACTTCTTATATCTCACAGAGAAAAACTACCTGTTCAAACTATCAATCAAAAAAGTCTAGTAGTTGTTGGGTTGTTTCACCTTAATTTTTTAAAAATACATGTTATTTTATATAAAGCTAGCATAGAAATAACTAACTGGGAGACATTATGTTAGAAATAATTTTTTCCTTTTTCATGCAGAGTGCACGGTGTTTGTGAATGTCACGCATGTGGGCAAGCTTAATATTTCTTTGATTCAGAGTGAGTTTGTCGCTCCTGGCAAGAAGGAAAAGGATTGCCAGTAAATATGATGAGGTTTAGTTTGAAGATAATTGAAGTTGGACTGTGACAAATCCTTCATATTAACTAAGAGGATCAATTTGTTGTCACAAGACCCCCCCCCCCTAATTAGCTGACAATTTATAACTGAAGAAGAATGGGGATTGACTTAAAATTTAGACACTTCAACACATTAAGTTAACATAATTAAAATAAATGAGAACTGCATTTGGCACTCCTCATTTTAATTATGTGAAAGATATATTTGCATGTTGCTTTGTGCTCATTTGAGTATGTTGTATGTTAGTTCAGGCACTGTGGATATTGTTCTGTCTATATTTTCAAAGTAGAAACACTACGTTCAGCAAATCTTAAATTCACAGATCTCGTTAATGATGGTAAGGCATTGTTTATTCTTTCTACGTTTGCATTGAGAAATGGGAAAAAAAAAGTTGAAAATTTCAGTTCCACATTTCCAATTTAGCTATTTTGAGAAATATGTTTATTAAATCTTAATTAAAATATTTAATTTTGAATTTGTACAGTCATCTTAACCTGACTTCCTGGGAAATCTTGCAGGACTAGTGTTTTGGTAGAATGTTACTGCTTGGTAGAACTTCATGTGCTGTTGCTTCCATAATTCTGCTGCTACAGCTTGTCTGCTTCTCTAATCTGTTTTATATAGTGACGGCACACTTCTTTAAATAGTTGTATCAGAGGAAAAATGGAAGTGTTTAGTGTGGGAAGTACACAGAAATAGGAAGCTGAAATAAAAGGGGAAATGTATTTTCAAATTTGGCAGAACAGTATTTTCCAGCAATTTGTGTCCTGTCGTTTGGAAAAACCGGTTGCATTTATTTCTGGTGTGCAGTATATTGAACATGATTTCTTTAATTGTTTCCAGAGGTTTATAACGTGTTAATGGAATTTAAAAAATTGAAAGGTGCCGTTTGCAATGTCTTTTTGTGTTTGTTTTTTTTTTTTCCAAAACTTGTCAGAAACAACAATTTTGAAATATAAATCCTCAGTGTTATATTTTCAGTGTGGCTTGATTTCATTGAGAACATGACTTCAGTGGTTTATGCTGGGAGAGAATTGCTGTTCCCTCCCAGCTGTATGGCATCTCCTCGGTGGGCTGCTCAGCTCTGCAGCACCTGCTTATCGTCCAGCCAGGCTGTGCGCACACATCCCTCAGCCTGCACGTCTGCAGCCCCGGCCCTGCTGAAGGGCTGTGTGAGGGAGAGGAGGATGCGGCTGGTCTGTCAGGGCAGACTACAGGAGGAACTGTTGGTGTGGGTTATGTGGCGTGTTGGGAAGAATGGAGAGTATTGTTAGGAAGGCTTCTTCATAGTACTGCTCTGGGATAATTTGTCTAGGACATTTAGGATAGAAAATCCATGGGAAAATGGGTTTCATTCTCATACTTTGTTGTTAGTGAAAGTGTTAGCTTTCAGATGGAAAATACAGCTACCCAACTGGAAGAACAGAAATAATATTCAAGTGTCGGGTACCACATACAGTTTACTAACTGGATTTCATTGCTTAAGTGTTAAGTATTAAGCATTGCTATAATTACTGATGTTCTCAGTTTCTTCAGCGTTTCAACCTGATGAACGTGACAGACTATATACCATGGCAATTTTTTCACAGTTTGAAACTGTACAGAAACTATCTAACAGGTTTTTTTTGTTTACTAGTGATTTTTCTTCGCATTTATAGGACTGGAAAGTAATACAATGAGAATTGTGATTTCTAAAAATTCTGAACCACAGAATGTCCCCCTTCCTGTGGAATTCTGGAAGGGAATTCCAGAAGCTGCAAAGATTTTACTTCTGCATTAGCTCTGCTTACCAAAAACACTACAAAAACATTTTTGCTCTGACACTACACATTTTTTTTTATTTTCAGTATTCTTATTTCTTTCCAGATATTGATGTATGAAGTAGCATCTAAACTACTTACTTTCTTCTCTTCCAGGCTGCTGAATCGGGAATAATAAAAGTGAAAACAATAGCTGCACGGAACACTGATATTCTGGCAGGTAATTATTTGCAATGCAATGGGAAAAATAAACTTGGGTTATAGATCAAAATGTCAAAAAGATGTCTTGGATATGTGTAATAATCCTACATGTCTTTCAGTATGTGTTATATGAGTGATGCTTTACTTTCGGGCACCCAGCAAAAAACCCAGTAGCATGAGAATTTTTTACTACTACTTTTGTTCCACATTAGTGCTATACTGAGGAAGGTCTCTATTTTCAGTTGTGGCTCTACAAAAGTTATCCTCCATTTAGAAAAATAGCATGAAGTATTTAGACTCCAAATTCTCAATGTTTTATTCACTGTCTGCATTCACCACAGCTGTTGTTTGAGTGCTCTGTGTGGACTTCTGCAGCATGATCCTCATCTGTGTGTTTAGTATGAGAGTCTAGCCTTTGGAGACTTGTACCTGTCAGGCAAAAATCTGTCTTAATCTGAGACAAGGTCATTCAATTTAAGATGTACCCTTCCCTTGAGTGACAGGAGATGTCTTGTGAGTTGCAGCTTTGTAAGTGCTTAAAACAGTATCTCTGACTTTCTTCAGCTTTATTAAAGAGCATGTAAATTGGTGGCTTCTTGCCAATTGCTGGTAAAGCCTTTGGCCAGATTTGAATGTCCCTGTATTAATACTTGACTGTTTACCCCATCTGTAGTCAAAATCCTTAAAATGCTAAATTGTTTGAGAGGTGCAAATGAAATAGGTGTAAAACTATTTCTTGTTTTGAGGTATGTAAATCAGACATTAGTAAGGAGGCACTTTCTACAATTATTTGAAGTAGCAGTCCCACCCCTCAGTATTTCACTTTAATGCCTCTTTTTTATTTGTTTATTTTCTTTGTTTTTACTGCTGTCATGAATGCTGACATAAGTGGGAAAACTATGCCAGGTAATGTCAGCTATATCAAAATACACAAATGAACAAGAGAAGTCTCTAGTTAGCCGTTTGGATAGATGTCAACATTCTTTGGCATATTACTGTGTAAAGAACTTTCTATTTTAGGAATCTAGTTTGTAATCCTGCAAAATTCTTTGTTTTTTAATCTTCATTTCAAAGTGGAGATATGTGAAAGATCATTGATTTTGGGCATGGATAGGCAGTCTTTCATCTTTTTGAGGGAACACTTTCTGGCAGTTTGTCAAATTTTGTAAGTACTTTTCCTTTCAAAGGTTTAAATCAGAATGTAGTTAGTATTTATTTCATTCATCAAAAAACCTACACAGATTTGTTGTTATGAGGTTCGGAAAACCAGCAGGTCCTAAAAGTTATTTTGATTACTTAATAATTTCTAATAGGATAATAACTTTTTTCCCAGTAAGAAACTACAGAACAGAGGGGAACATATACTGCATATTATCCTAACATTCCACAGTTTAAACATATCGCCATTAAACACTCCTAAATCTTTACTGACTCTTGTATTTTTTGAGGTATTAGTTGTAACCTAATCTTGTACATAAGTTAATTTCAAGATCTCTGTTGTCTCCTATCTGCTATTTAAATTCTTTTGCAGGAAAATAGGATGTATAATTTAGTAATAATAAAGCTGCAAAAGGCTACTGTTATTGTGAAATCTAGTGAAGTAGATACTTTTTGACTGCGAGATGGTTTAGGAACATCTACTAGACATTCTAGTAATCCAAATAAGTATTTTGATCAGGATATGATTTTTCTTTGTATTTTGATGTAAACTGTCATTTCACTAAAGTAGATGAGAACAAATGTATCAGTGTTTTGAATAAGCTGACTTGATGCTTTATTGAAGCATTACACTGTGTAGGATTATAACTTTTAGGAAAATAGATGCAATCTTAAAATCTTTATTAAAATCCTAAAAATCTTTATTATGTCTGGTGAGATGTGTTTAACTGGCCAGAACTCTGAGGTTGTTGATCCAACTTCTTTCTTTCTCTTGGAAGAGTTGAGCATGTTCAAAGTCTTCATTCTTGGCAGTTTGTATGTGCTTTATAATTTATTCACAAGGATTTGAGTAAGTCCAAAAGAGAGGTCAGCTTGTGCATTATATCACAGGAGATAAATGTGAGAAGATATTTCCATCTGGCTCTGAAATGTGCGATTTATAATTTTGTTTTAGAAGTTCTTTAAAAAAATGAGAATCATAATCTTGCTGATGGAATGGAGTAAGTTTTACTTCACCAAAACGTCTTTTTTTTATATGATTCATTATGATAGATTTATTTTTTAATATATTCTTACATAATTTTGGTAGCAAAATGGAAGCAGACCTGGATATAAGAAAATTTTTGTGTATTTTAAGACTGAAGCTAATATAATGATTGGTATCAAACCTGATCTATGAAACATTAATTTTTCAGCTTCATAAAGTAAAAATCCTGGTGTAGATCCTGTTGTGAGATTATTGTTTTTAATGGATTAGAGGAAAGATACTGTAAAAGTTTTAAATTTTTCTTTGCCTTGCTATTTATTAACTCTCATGCCACTTAGAACTTTATTGTGAGTCTTACGTTAAGCATAAATGTTTGTGATATCTTTTTAAAAATTGTGCTTCCTTCTTTCTGCTTCGTGGTTAGAATTTAGTGGCAGTTCAGAAATTTATGAGTGAAGAAGTTACTGTGAGGTCTCTAGGCTCTATGGGCCATGTGTTGTAGGTGTTCATAGGCTGTAAAGTCAGCTTAGACATCTAGTTCACCTGTAGACACTGACAATTAGATGCCTAAATTAAATGTCTTAATTGGGAACAAGCTTTCATTTTTGATGGAGTAGCCAGTGTTTTGTTTGTAATTTGAAAATCATGGAATGTTTCATAAGAGAATGGTATTGGTGGATATGGCTTAAACTGCATATTTTAAAAACAGGTTTATTTGCTTTGTAGTTAAAAAAAAAACTGTTGAAATCAAGCAGATTGTTAAACAGGCAGTGAACCTATCCATTCACATTTATGCTTATATTTTAATTGGTTTTGGTTGGACATGTGGTGGAAGGTCAGCCTCTGTCAGGTGGAGATAGAGCATATACTGGCTCTGAAGAGGCTGACGAAACTATGGGCTGTATATGTGTTTATATCACCATGTAAGAACTATCACCTTAGAGAAGGTTGGCACCTATAATTTATACTAGCCTGTTCTTTTCATAGAAACTTGTTAGTGCTTCAGTTGAAAAATATCACTAAAGTATATTTTTGTAGCTTTTACTTTGATGTTTCATTTTTTTTCCAAATTAGTTGTAGTGCTACGTAATAATAAACCCTCTTGTGAGCCAAACGTCAAATTGCTCAATCGAAAAAATAAAATAGATCATGTTTGCATTTATACGTGAGAATGTACTTTCTGTTTGTTTGTAGTAGGATCTGTGCTCTAAAAAAATGTGTGAAACTTTTTCATGAATGCATTTCTTTTATTACACATAGACTAAAACATTGTGTATGACATTCAGTGTAAGAAAACAAATTGAACTTTCAACTGCGAGGAAAAAATATCAGAGTCATGCTTTCCTTTTGTCTTTCAGAAATATTTTCTTTTTTTTTAATTTTATGAAGTCTAGCTCAGATTTCTAGAATTACTTTTATGGGGAAAAACTTCTTAAAATGTCAGTGTGGAATTTTGCATTAATTGTGAAGTTTTTTCTCCTAAAAAAAAGAAAAAGTTCATGAAAGTTGTGTTTTCTCCTGACAAAGCTTCATTTTAAGAAGCTGCTGCCCTTTCCCACTACAATACTGGTTGAAAAATCACGGCCAGGTGTACGTACCCAGGGTACAAACAGTCCAGTCTCTCTCTCCTGTTTTGTCGGTGGCATTTTGCTATTTCCTTTTGTGCCATGTGCTTTGATATGTCTCTCTGCCACACTTTTGAATTCGGAGCTGAGGTGAAGCAGAGCAGAAGAAAGCTACCAGCCTGAGGCTGGTCACTGCTGCAAGGCCAGAGGAATCTCTGTGGTGGGCAGAACCTTACAGCTTCTTACTAACCAAATGGACTCTTTAACCGGATGTTTTGGATTTGGAAAGAGAAAGTCACTTGCACGTGTAAGGGAAAAGGTGCTTGGGATTTAAGCCTCAGACGGGTAAATTGTGGAAGTGAGCTGTGGCAGCCCAGTGTCTGCCTGCATGTGTCTTTTCCCGGTGGTGCAAGAGCAAATCCCAAATTTCCAAGGCTCGAGATTGCTTCTAGTTAATAGGTATGATTAACAAATTTTGCATTGCATTCTTCAAAGTATTAAACATTGACTGTTTCCGTATCTCTTTTTGAAAGCATTGAAAGAGAACAGCTCAGAGGTAGTTCAGCCTTTCCTAATGGGCTGTGGAACGAAGGAACCAAAGATCACTCAGCTGTGTCTAGCAGCCATACAGAGGCTCATGTCCCATGAAGTTGTTTCAGAGGTAAGATCAATCTTGATGTAAATACATAAACACTTCAGTGTGAGAAATAGAGACCTCAAGCTGAAGATGAGTGCTTTTGTTCTAGGAGGCTGTTTGTAGTGTAATCAACATAGTCTGCAAAATATTTTACTCATACCCGTTTTTAAAAAATGGTAATTTAAAAGAAAACATCTTTGATCATAAAAAAAAAAGGGAAAACAAGAGAAGAGAGGAGGAAACTAATAACTTCTAGAAGGAAATTAATGAAAATTCAAACCAGCTCATTTAGTTTGCATTCTTACACTGCAGGAACAGATCATGTAATGGTCCTTGATAAAGATAATTCTTAAAGTTGCATCCACAAAATTTACTTTATGCAATAACATTATGTATTATGTTTTAGTTACATTTTACTTTTAAAACTAAAATAAAATGGATGCACATTTCCTGCAACTGTAAATGTCATGATACGTTATGGTACTGCATATATAGTATGTTAAGAAGCTGGTGAAAATGTATCTTCAATTGTGCTTGCATAATGAAAAATCACACTTTTTTTCTCTGATAGGAGTGAGTTTTGAGGGTAAACTGTCTTTGTACTCTGTCTTCTATATTTCCAAGTAGAAAATGAAGTACTCGCTTTAATTTGGACTAAGAGATTTCTGCTGTCAATTCTTTAAAAACACTTTGGGAAGCTTGTGACAATGAAATTGGCTTTATGTTTTCAATGTAGTCCTATGGTATAGACAAACAGGTAAATTCAGTTACGATACGCATTTATAAGAGTGCTATTCGTACATGTGTACACATGATATACCAGTATTTTGTAAACATCTTAATTGTTGGCAAAAAAATTATTTCTTTGTAGGCTGCAGCAGGAAACATTATTAATATGCTTTGGCAACTGATGGAAAACAGTCTTGAAGAACTTAAATTGCTCCAGACAGTTCTTGTGCTTTTAACAACCAATACAGTTGTGCATGATGAAGCACTGTCCAAGGTAAGAATTTGTTAGTGCCAACCGTAGTACTTACAATATCCAAGAAGAAAAACAGGGAGAAATTTTACATATGAAGCATTTGGAAATAATGGAAGAGGAGGGGGCTTTCTTGATCCTATTGTGTCCCTATTGTCTTTATATCTAGACTCTGAAAACAGGATTTCTTTTTGCTTCCTTTTCAATCTGTTTTTTAATTCCTCTACAGTAATACATTTCTGACTTAATGGGAACTTTAAATAAAAACATTGAGCTAATTCCTGTCCTTCTCATCTGCTAAATCCATCATATGTATGTTTTCAGACTGAAATTGGAGCACATAGTGCAGTGTAAGCTCTCACTAATAAAGCAAGTATTAGAAGAAATTGCCTGCCACCCTGCTTTAAATTTCTTTTGAAAGCAGTCCAGTTATTGCTCTTTCAGTCAGAACTGAAATAACTTCATTGCATAATTTTAAACATGTACCATTTTGGATATTATGTTTCAACTAACACAAAAACTAAGGATACCAATCCATTTTAATCTTAAAATACAAGATATTTCTCTTTGAAGGAGCAGCATTGTTTACCCATCTGTGTATTTTGAAGTTCTGTTTAAAGTAAGTTTCTCTTCTAGATTACATTTTATAATTTTTTCTCTTTAACTTAAGCAAGATTTTTTGTTTTTAACCAAATCGTTCTAAATTGCTGCCTTTGTTATGCTCTGCCTTCAGTGTATTGGTTTAATATCAGAATGTTTTCAGTTGTTTGGTTTGTGTTTTTGGGTGGTTTTTTTTTTTGAGAGAATAGAATTGAAGAATATTTTTGAAGGCATTCTGTTCTGGTGGAAGGTTTTCAGGTCTTTGTTTCTGGTTTTAATGAAATAACTTCCTAGCGGGTTAAATGTGTGAATATTCAAATCATTAGTAATCTACTTAACCAAATGAATGGAGAAAGCAAAACTAAGTTACAAAAGCCTGC